ATTTATTTTGATCTTCATAACAATCTTTTCATTTGAAAGAAGTTGCCAGTATTTACAAAAGAAGAACACAAAGCTGAGTGCTGACTCCGCAGAAACCCTGGCTAGTTTAAGAACAGGTCTTCTGGTTCCTTGTGGAGTTCCTCTGACTCTGCATCACTTTGCTCAACTTTACAAGCTGCATACCATAAGCAAATTCTCCTGGAAACATCTTGCTTACCACAGTGCTGTGAGGTACAGTTAAAAGTAATTTTCTGTGCATCAAAAATATGAATGGTATTACTTACCTGTTTTACTTAATAGGAGTAAGTGTACAACATGCAAGTGACTCAACTTTAAAACATTCCCTTGGCTTGACTATTCCACAAAATATGTATTTCTTAAGCTGAGAAACTGGCATTTTCTTGTGTGGACAAATATTTATTAGTTCTTGGACTTTAATACATATAATAATGCTATTTAATACAATGTCAACTTCATCTTGCTACTTTTTAGAAAATTGTTATTATTGCTTTTTGTAGATTTTTTAATTGAATTTTTGTATATTTCATACAGAACATCTTAATCATCTTTATACCCCTTCCCCTTTGGCACCTCCCATAGCACCCCCCATTGGAATTCATGCATTCTGTCATTTGTGTTAAGGCCTACCTTGTCAAATTAGTGTCTCCAGATGTCTCTCAGTGCAAGTTCATCCACTGAGGCCTAGTCAGCCTATCTAGAGTACCTACCTTTAAGAAGATCAGCTCTTCCTCACCCAGCAGTAATCAGCTATCAATAATTCTTCAACTAAGATTGAAGACTGCTGCCCATTTCCACGGTTCTGTGCTGGGTTTGTGTTTGCTTGAGTTTGCATAGTTCTTACGCTTGCTGACACCATTTTTGTAGGTTAACATTTTTATTTTGTGTATGAGTAGTGTATTGCCTTCATATACATAAGTGCACCTGTGTCGTGCAATGCCCATGGAGGTCAGAAGATGGCATCAAATCCACTGGAACTGGAGTTTATAGACAGTTGATAGCCTCCATGCAGGTGCTGGGACTCAAACCCAGATGCTTTACAAAAGCAGCCAGTGCTCTTAACCACTGAGCCATCTCTCTCCATCCCCAATCTTGCTTTTACATCTTTTTTTTTTTCAGTTTAGATATTCCATGGTTCTAGAGAAAGGTTCTTATAAACCAGGTCCAAAAGGAAAATATTTTATAATAGATTTATTGAACTTTAATTCAAATATCATAAAGATCATTTAAAATTTCAATAATTATTTTAATATATTCACTGTCAGGGAGCCTTTACCACAACCACCTTCAGAACGTGGCCATCACCTCCCACAGAAATCTTACTTCCTTTAATGTTAACCTCTTACTTTTCCATCCCCTCAACCAAAGAGGACCACTCATCTACCTTCTGTCCCTGTGTCCCTACCTATTGCAGACATTTCATACAGAGGAAAACCATCTGTGGTCTTTGTGATTATCCTCTGGGGGATACTATGGTGAAAGCTCATCCTTGTAATATGTGTCTTTTTTGCTGAAGACTTTTTCTTGCATAGATTTACATTAGTTTATCCACTGATCAGTGTATGGGCATTTGTACTGTTTCTACAATTTGCCTGCTATGAACAAGGCTGCTCTGAACTTTCATATATAGACTTGGTTGCATATATATATCTGGCTCTTTTGGATGTATACCTAGGAGTAGACTTGCTAGATCATATGGCGACACTATATTTATCCTTTTGAAGAACTGCCAGACTGTTTTCCAAAGCAGCTGAACCATTTTACATTCCTAAACATTTTTAAAAGAAATGGAAATGATAAAATCACAGAGTTAATAAAATGTACTTGATGGAACACTATGTGTCACTCCCTCATAACTGAAAACTTCAAAAAATTTAAATTTTCACACTTTTTCTTATCTTAATTTTTCTACTCTATGGATATCTGTGCAATAAATGAAATCATTTCTAGAATTAATTAAGTAAACTAAGTTCTTCACAATGCCTACTTTAAGCAAAATGAAATTAATTTCTTACTAAATGTAGATAGATAGATAGATAGATAGATAGATAGATAGATAGATTTTCATATGAGCAATGTAAAGTGAATGGCACTTTTAGGCACTTGATTATTTTCATTTCTTGTTGATTATTGTTGAGGGCATTATAATATCATAATAATAGATTGCATTACACTAACTTAATACTTGGGGTAAACCAGAATACTTAATGAGCCGATGAGTCACATTTAAACCCCAGTAATGTATAGAAACTATGTATGAGACTTCGTCACAATTAACCAAAGAGATACATGTGTTAGTGGTTTGGATTTCTTCCCTTCTGTTTTCCCATGGTAATTTCCCTACATCTCTCTCTCATCATCAGAGTCCACAGTCTTCATTATATCAGATACACACATACTAGCCACACACGGAGTAGATACAACCTTATCCAGGCATTATCTGCAACACAAACCCATTTTAACCTTCATCTGTAAGTGAATCTACATATTACAGAAGACAGGAATGAACTAAACGAACTTGAAAAATAAGGTCTGTGGACAAAGACACACAAGTGAATTCCAAAGTAGTCACAGAGACTCAGGGTGAAGGGAAGATTCCAGGACAAGAAAGACTGAACATGCAGCACAAACAGCGTGTCTGTTTCGCAATGAAACTGAGAAGCCAAGTGCTCTCGTGTCATAGCTGTATGCAGTTTCTCCAAAATAGGAATGGACACATCTGGTTTCATTTCACTTTATTTCACGAAAAACATTTCCATTGGACAGAATAATGTGTCACAAATTCTTTCATTTCAGCTTGCTTTATTTGTTTTCTGAAATAGCACATAATTTTTTATGAAACAGATGGAGTGAATAACTTTTTAAGTAAAAACTATTAAAATATATCTAATGTATTAAAAACTAAGAAAGGAAAAATTATATCTTCTCTAGTCATACAAAAAGACCTTTTCTTTGTTTCACTCTGTTGCAATAGTATCTTCCCATGTCACAAAATTCAACTATTTTATATATATAAAGGGCTCATAATGGTGGACATTAACCTTCCATACGGAGACTTTCTGCCCTGAGTCTTTTGTTTCAGATTCTTCAAGTGCTCCACTCATGCCATTTTCCTCTTTGAGACTTTGTCATCATTCACTTTTTCTCAAGCATCTAGGAGCCACAAAATTGGTCATACTTATACAATCTGAGAAACATTGTCAAAGACTCTCCCAGCCATACCTGAGGTGAAACCTCTCATGCACTCCTTCTCCAGTGGCGGTTATTCAGAGAATAGGGGTAGCAAAGTCACAACCATATGAAGAATGACATAATCCTCACTTCTTCTCTGCCCCGTCTTTGGGGTCTTCCTTACAAGAGTTCTACAGATGTTCTTTTACGACTCCCAGTGTTTAAATCCCTTATGAGGGAAAGGGAGAAATGGACTCAAACTGCATGCAGGCCCTACTGTTCTAGACATTACTTCAAATATCTGGCTTCAGATCCACAAAAATGTGGCAGATGAAATACGAGAATCACAGAAGATGGACAACTTACTTGTGTGTGTGTATACACATATACACATATATGTATATACAAACAACAATACTGTAAGAATAGTATTAGTGATATTCAGAACAAAAGAACTGAACACCTGATGAAGGGAAATTATATCTCAGAATTTCTGTGCACCTTTCTGACCTTGAAAGTTTTTTTAGAGCCTTTCTGAGACTAATATTACATCTCCTCTTTCAAATAAACCTCAGTTTCAAGCTCCAACATTCAATACGAATACAACTTTCTAATTTATTGCTACTTTGGTTACTACCATCACAACAGCATTTTTTTTCCTCAACACTTTAGAGAAGATTAACAAGACAAAGCACCATTTAAAACTTTGTTTCTGGGCTGGAGAGATGGCTCAGCGGTTAAGAACACTGGCTGTTCTTGCAGAAGACCCGGGTTCAAATCCCAGCACCCACATGGCAGCTAACAACAGTCTGTAACTCCAGTTCTAGGGGATCCAATGGCCTCTTCTGTCCTCCACCACTGGCACTGCACAACACAGGTGCACTTACCTGCATGCAGGCCATACATGCATACACATAAATTTTAAAACAAAACAAAAAACCAAAAAAACTTTGTTCCTATTGAAAGAAACGCTCTGAAAAATTCCACAAACCCAATTGACAAATATTTGTGGAACACAATGTTTTTAAACTGGGGACTGCTGATATCTGTGAAATAAGTGTTAAAAACAAAAGCACACCTTTCAACAGTACCCTGTAGGGTCAAAGTGGGAGTAGAGATCCAGCCCCCGACTTCTACTCTTTCTTCTTGTTTCCCAAATGACTAGACTTTTATGAAAATAATCTACTACTTACGTTGCTTCAAAGTGAGGAGAGAGGGAAAAAAAAAACCCAACAACATTGCATCACAGATAAACCATAGAGACTCCATTTTGAATGCCAATATTACTAATAGTTGCTTTTAAACCTTTAATTAATTCCATATTAAAGTTCATGTAAAATTCAGAGTTGCCTACTGATGTGTCAAGAAATATCAGGATTAACATTCACAGTAAAATATTTTCTATATATTATATATTGTATTTTAAAATAAAAGTTAAGTAAATCTATATTTAGCTTTTAGACAGAGATATAACTGGCTAGAAAATTTTAGTAATTGTTACATAGATTAAATGTTTCTTTTATTGGGTTATGTATTATTTTGAAATTTAAAAACAAGTAATATCTTCAAAAGAGTTCTTTGAAAGACTTCTAGCTTGTACTTTTTAAAAACCAGGGAAGATTTTTTTGTGCTTTAATTTTTAAGAGTTTACAGATTTTTCAAAATTATTAATTTATCAGTTCTTATTCCAGTATTGCCAGTTTTCCCTCTGTATTCCTTTTCATAATTATCATGTTGAAGACAATAAATCTATCCTTTGTTCTTTTTTTAAAAGAAACAATGAAATTCAAGCCGTCAAATTAATTAGACATTTCTTTATTATACTTTTGAAATTCTCTCAGACAACAACCAGGGTTTTAAAAATGATGTAATTCTAAATTTTTTAGTTTTGAAACTCAAACATCTACACAAATGACAAAGAAAGACACAGAGACATAAGTATTTAAAAAAGAAAACAGTGAGAATTAGGTTTATAAGCCAGTTGCAATCAGAACAAGGGAGCTTTACTTAGAAGGAGTAGCTGATCCAACAAAAGGAGATGGGAAGAGGGGGAACATTCCACAAAATTATTAAGGGGGTTTATACTATCTTGTAAGTGAGGAAACAACAACTGTACCACAGGCACCATATTAACAAAGGTCATGGCATTCCTTCAGGTGGATAAGCTATGAGTCTGCACTGAGGGAACAGAATCAAGATTTCATGACTTGAGAAACCAGACCTAATCATGTTCATTTTCCATTTGTACAAGTGGGCAAAGCATGTGTCTCTAAAGTAGACTATGAAGTGCTTGGAGGCATGGCAATCGGGGCAAAATGTGAGACTGCATCTACACAATGTAGTTTTACTTGATGCCTGCTCTCTATGTTCTTGCTGTACACACACACACACACATATGTGTGCGCACACACACGCACATACACACAGACACATACACACACGTGGCTTTGAGTGGATATTTTAAAGATGTTTGCATGGCTAATTTGATTAACATGTCTCTTAAAATAACTTCTCTGTGGTTTGTTTAAAACTTGCTCTAGTGCAAGTTATGGACATTTCTCTAGAATTCTCAACCTGACTCACAGAGAGACTCACACAGATGGGCACCTTTAAGTGTGGAACTATATATTCCACCCAAAAGCTAACTTTTTGTTTAGTAAATTATCAACACCAGGCTTTGATCATAATATACGTCTGTCTAATGAGAAAACCAGATTAAGAAAACAATCTTAAAATAAGCTTCATAAATGTGAACCCAAATAAAAATTCCCAAAGATTTAGCATCTATATAAATCAAACTTAATTTTCCAAGGGAAAAAAAATCATCCTTAAATCTATATGCTAAATTTTTGATTCACTACAGACAGCATCTTAAATTCCCCAATTGATTTCGCCTCAAAATTAGGGAGTTTAGAAATAGAAACAGGTAAAACTTCCCTTTGTAGGTGAATCTCACTATTGTCTAGAATACATAGGAATATCATTTAAAAATTAAAGTTCTTAAGTATTTTTCCATAAATATACTCTCATCCTTAAAACATAATTTGAAAAATAGTGAATCATTAAACAAACAAACAAAAAGATTAGGCAGCAAATCAAACAATTGACTTCTTGGATTATTAGCCTCAATTTCTGTGTTTGTCTTCTCTGTACCTATGAAGTAACTCAATTTTAAGAGTGTTGTTGGAAACAATATTATTTCACAGAGATTAAAACTTTTCAGCCTATCCATAACCTACAAAAGTACTTTGAAACAAATTTACCTTTCCATTGTTAAAAGGAAACATCATTGCTTTCTTTTTCTGTGCTAAATCTATTACCCTGCTTGGCTATGCTGCACTCTTCTGGGCATACAATTTCATAGCAGGTATCAAAATAACCAAGCCATCAAGGCAGATTTATCAACCCACAATTTCCTATTAACAAAAACTTTTCAATGTACAACTGGCTCGTTTTGCACAAAACCACCCCACAATAAGTAATGATGGCTAAACTTAATAATTAATACCTAAATGAAAACTGCAGTAGGATTTCTTGTTTAGTTTTTCTATCTTTTCATACAGTCCAACACCTGAAAACAACTGCACTGTGAGCTCTTTCCTGGAAGATGTCAGCTGCTTCCTCGACTGGAAGAGGACGTGGAGCCACGTTTCTGGAGAAGAGGGAGGGTAAAACAAGGCTGCTGCTAAGAGTCAGCTTTCAGGAATGGTAAGTCAGTCAACTCTTTCCTCTCTGGCAATCCTTTCTTGTTGGAGCAAGAAGGAAATTACAACACATTTTGAGAAATGTTTCCTCACCCCTCCACCTCTAGGTCGGGGGTCCCTCATCAGGTCAAAACGTTGATCCATGTAATATCCGCAGGGCATTCCACGCGATGCCATGAGAGGTGGAGCCAGTCTCCATGGCATTCCGTGAGACATCAAATACTGTGAGGCTTTCTGGAAAACAATCTCTATTGGACCAAGTCTTTACTTCGCTGGAAGTAGTCACATCCAAGACTTAATTTCAACAGGGTTCAATTTATTGCTTGGAGCTCTGGCAGCACAAAACTGTCCTCTTTGAATGGAAAATTTGACCAACTGCGATGAGGTAAGTGGATTTCGAAAGTGGGGGTGTGCCGGGGAGAGGCATACAACTTTTTTTGGCAGGGGCAGAGGGTGCATCCATAGAGTCCTAGCAATCCGCAAACCCCCAAGTCTCTGACGGCGTCAGGAAGATCAGAAAGCCCTAAAGTCCTTCGGTTCATCGCTCTTGGAGCCGAGGGACTTTGGGTTTAGGAGTTTCTGGGAACCGGGGAATCCCAGTCTCGGGTAACAAGAGGAAACTGGAGAACCGACGCGCTACAGAACCACCCAGTGCCCGCGATCCTCTGCATTCCCCAGGCTCTGGAACAGCCGTCGCGGGTCCAGAGGGGATCCAGGCGCTCAGTCCGTGCGCCTCCGGGTCACTTGAGGATCCACCACCCCTGGGGCCGCGAGCCAGGAGCTCTCAGACCAACTCCTTCCAGGCCGCTGGGGGCCTCCGGGCGGGTCTGGCCGCGCTCCCCGCCGCACCCTCCTGCCTGTGCCTGGGGGAACCGCGACCTCCCCGCCCCCGGGCCCGGCCCCGGCTAGGCAGCGCTTCCCGTAAACTCCCCGCCCCGCGCGGCCCCCTCCCCGCCTCGGCTCCACCCCCGCGGGACCCTGGAAGGCGTGAGATTGGCCCGGACGCGCTGTCAGTCTCCAGACGCGTCACCGCCCTCGTTTCCGACCGCCGGAGACCGGCAGTGCTATTAGTGCTCGGCGGGGCCGCGGCGGAGGGCATCGTGCTGCCCTGCTCGCTCGCTGTCGCCCGCGGGTCGGCGCGCTCGCTCTACTGAGCCGTGCCCGGGAGCTGCAGGGCCGCGGGGCTGCACGCCGGCCGCCGCCGGGCGCTCGGAGATGGGCAGCGCGCGAAGTTGACCAGCCCCCCGCGCACGCGGCGCCTTTGCTGCCCGGAGGTGCGCGCCCCTGCCATCTAGGTGTCCGAGGTTGTCCGCGCGGAGCCCTGCCCCAGATGTGCGCGGGACACCCTGCCCCCCCGCTCCTGGAAAACTTCACCCCAAGTCCAAAGTGGGCTGGGAGGGCGGCTCCCGGAGCTGGACCGTGGGGCTGCGCGCAGGGGTAGCCGTCCCGGCAGATCCCCGGGCCGTGGGAGGGCGGAGACCCACTGCAAACTTTCTCCTCATCTTGGTAGTCATCGCGTTTTACTGTTTTCTCTCCTCGCAGGGGCTGCAGCCAGCGGTCTGTCGCGCGTGCTTGTGGGCCCGAGGAGCCGCCTGGGGGAGGAGAGCCGCGGGGGAGTCGCTTCCCCCCAGGAGACCCGCAGCCCAGCCCTGCGCTCTGGGCGGCCTGGATGCGCAGCAGCGGGCACCGCAGCCGCTGACGCCAGGCGGCGGCGAAGTTTGGCTGCTGAGCGGCTCGGCGCCGGGCCACTGGACAGCGCGTCCAGCGACGGCAGCGATGCCCGTGGGGAGCCTCTTGCCGCTCTTCAGCAGCCCTGGGGGCGGCGGCCTGGGGGGCGGCCTGGGTGTGGGGCTCGGCGGCGGCAGGAAGGGGTCTGGCCCCGCCGCCTTCCGCCTGACCGAGAAGTTCGTGCTGTTGCTGGTGTTCAGCGCCTTCATCACGCTGTGCTTCGGTGCGATCTTCTTCCTGCCGGACTCCTCCAAGCTGCTCAGCGGGGTCCTGTTCCACTCCAACCCCGCCTTGCAGCCGGCGGCTGAGCACAAGCCCGGGCCGGGGGCGCGCGCGGAGGACGCTGCGGAGGGGCGAGTCCGGCACCGGGAGGAGGGCGCGCCCGGGGACCCCGCGGCTGCGCTGGAGGACAACTTGGCCAGGATCCGCGAAAACCACGAGCGGGCTCTCCGGGAAGCCAAGGAGACCCTGCAGAAGCTGCCGGAGGAGATCCAAAGAGACATTCTGCTGGAGAAGGTGAAGGTGGCCCAGGACCAGCTGCGTGACAAGGTGCTGGTCGGGGACCTGCCGGAGGTGGATTTCCTGCCCCCCATCGGGGTGGAAAACCGGGAGCCCGCTGACGCAGCCATCCGCGAGAAAAGGGCAAAGATCAAAGAGGTGAGTGGGCCGTGCCAGAAATCGCTCTCACGCGGCAATGTTTTTCAGGGAAGCAGGGATAACCTTTGCAACTTAGGGCTGCAGCCTTAAGATGCAGAAGGCAAGGGAGGTTTCCCTTTCCACCAGGTGCTGTCAAAGATTGCACGTCTTCCTTTGGTTGTACGCCTTCCTTTTAACGGTGTCATAGTAGCTGTGGCCAGTTAGGCTCTGAGGCTGAATCTCTTTAACTTACATGCTGTGGTGAGCTTTGGCTAGAGGCAGGTGTGAATACATGGGTGGGTGATAGCCAGCCTCCTGCTCTGGCTGCTTACAGGATTAATTGCCCCTGGGAACAGGGACTGTGAAGGAACCTAACAGTCCCTCCTCCTTGCTAAGACTTGGAGGTGGCTTTGAATTGAAGTTGGCTGTAAAGGCAAACCATCAATCACACATGGTACACAGGTTGTAACCAGGAGCCAGTGTGTCCAGCGTTCAGTCATGTGGCCCTCCTGCCAGGTTTCATTCTGTGTGTAGTTAACAGACTGTAAAGGTGAAACCTGAGACTCACCATCACAGGCTGGATACTATTGTTTACTGTTTTAAAACATGAAAATGAAAAAATGAAAAAAAAAGAGACCTATCTACTGCTTTTTGTATTTCTAGAACATAGTTTGAAATGGGGTATTCCGTGTGATGCAACAGGTCTGCCTCTGTAGCAGCTCAATAACAAACTTAACATAGCACAAACATGGACTTTGATAAGTACTCTGTAATTTCATTCTGGTAATTTTCACTTGTAACATGTGATTAGTTTTTGACTAGTTTAAAGCTGAAGGAACCCTTGAAAATCCTTTGAGGCTGTCACTTCAAAGGTGAAAGTTGAAGGGCTCAGAGCTCAAGAACTAGTTAGTACAAGTCAGCACTTGAATGAAGAAGCAGAGATTTCTAGTCACCAGGCTCTGTGGACTTGCCTCCTTCCAGCTGCTCTCCTGTGTGGAACTGGCTGAGCCCCAGCTTTCCTGGGAATCCAGAGCTGTAGGAACCATGTTAAAAGCATGCCATCCCAACTCTCGTTCAGTTTTCTAAAATTTGTTAGGAATGGAAATAATATTTTTGCCATTTAAAAAAGTGCTACATGGAATCCGTGAAAATTTTGTTTTGATATTGGGTGGATAATCAGGACAGGAAGCATCTTACTACCATTTTCAGAGCATGAGCAGAATTTGGAGACCGGAAAGAGGCATTTAAAGTGACTGCAGAACAAAGGTAGCTTGAATGTCCTCAGAGTTGTATGAGACCATAGGAAGCTGCTTAAGCTGTCACTGAGCAAGTTCAAGTGGGTCCCTTTCAGTTTCCCTGAGTATACCTTCAACCCTCCCAGGCTATGGCTTCCTGTGATAGTCCTTCAGGCAGAGAAGCCTCCCCAACTTGGGGGTGACGGATTCTGCTCTCCTGATGACTTCTCTCTACGAAATACTGACAGTGCTGCAGAACCTGGAGAGTAGGACACTCTCTGCCTCTTCCCATACATCCTTCCACCCTCATCTCCCAGGCTCCTTAATCCAATCCATAGAAAATTAATGCTCAGATGATCAGTAGGTACTGGTGTCTCTGATGGAAGAGAGCAGTTCACAAATCCTGGCTTGCCGTTCGTATGAACTGCCAGTTAACACAGGTTGTGGTTATAGAAGGAAGAGATTTTAAGTACTAAAGATGCATGCATTAAAAAGCTGACCATTAATAACTGAAAGTAAATTTAGAACGGAAGTAATAGATGGTTACAGTCCACTGAAGGTAGCATATTAGCAGTATTGGCTATTAGGTCCACCTTATCTATGTCTCTAAATCAACAGCACTTAATTTACCATGTAAGGGAAATATATGTAGCCTGTTATGTGGTAACAACACCTTAGTACCTAGATGCTTTCAAATTGCCCAGTCTTGCATGAAGTGGTGGAACTAAATGTGTTCTTTAAAATTCTATGTTGTTATGAAAACACAAACTAGTCACCATAATTTGCTTCAGTATTTAGTCAAAGACCAACAGGAAGACAGGAAAACAGGAGAAATGAATTATGATTTTCAATCAAAATGGTTCAAGAACATGTAGTCCCCAGCAGTAACTCATTCTATTCTGTATTATTATTCTTTGACACTTTCATACATGTGTTTAACAAGTTCTGGTCATTTTCACCACTACCCCCCCCCCCGTTACTTCAACTCACGGCATTCTAAAAGAACTGATGTTTAGTCATGGAGAGGAAAAAGTGGTTGTGGGTTGAGAATGAATTGTTCCTTTCCCCTTTCATACATTTGTTTAACAAGGTCTGGTCCTTTTCCCCCCTCCCCCCCCCCCCGTTACTTCAACTCACGGCATTCTAAAAGAACTGATGTTTAGTCATGGAGAGGAAAAAGTGGTTGTGGGTTGAGAATGAAGCACATTTAGGATCTGTTTCCTGTACTATAGGCTCCTTGTCTTGGATCGATAGACCTCTGCCTTGGTTTTTTTCTTTCTTCTTTCTGTATTTTCATTTATGTTTATGTTCTCTATCATATCTGAATACACTAAAACTTTTGTAGTTAAAACTTAGAGGCTGTAGGATCGAATCTGAGTCAAGCTTTTATTTTGTAAGTTTGGTCCAGAGGTGGCACTTCACACATTTTTCATAATGCTGGCCTAATTGTGTTATTGGTACTTCACTGGTTTTTGTGTTTGTGTCTTAGGGAAGGTAAGCTGTTAATTTCAAATAGGACATTGCCTTGACCTCTTCACAAAATGGTATTGAATGAATTCCACTAATGACTTGATAAACAGATTTGATGTAAACTTTTCTCTTCCCACCCACGAGAAAACCGTGTAAAAACATTTATTCTGGAATTTCCCTAGTTTATAATGCATGCTGAGTGCATGTTTATTGTCATGAATTTGATCATCTTACAATTGTACTCAGGTTGTCCTTAGCTTTAAAAAAGAAAAATATTCTATTTCCCCTTCCATGCTACTCTTTTTTTAAATTAGGAAATATTTTTAGCTTTGTTGGGGTAGGGACACAACACAGTAAGCCTACCCTGTACCTCAGGATGAAGGTTCTAATCCGATTTGGATGGTGAGTATTTTCTTCATTTCCTGGAGTTATGGGGTATTTTGAGTAAGAGAAGACAAATGGACCTTTCTTAGACTGGAGTTCCCAGCAACGTAAGAGGGCAGGGGAATTCTGCAGGCTGACAGCCCTGGGTCTGTCAGCTGGAATAACAGATGTCTTCTAAATTCCTCAAAAGAGGGCTTTTTAAAATCCCAAACCTATTCATATAATCATATACTTAAAGATTCACGGTGATTGCTAATGATTAAAATACATTTTTATTATATTTTATAGTAGCCATAGGGGTGTGTGTGTGTGTGTGTGTGTGTGTGTGTGTGTGTGTTTTCTCATGAATAAAGTGTATAGTTTATGTTAACTATTTTTTTTATTTTATTTTTTTTATTTTATGTGTATGCGTGTATTGCCTGCATGTAGTTAAGTGCACCCTGCCTGCAGAGGTCAGAAGAAGCTGTCAGATCCCCTGGGACTGGAGTTAGCTGCCATATGGGTACTGGGATTCGAACCTAGGTCTCTGCAAGAATAACCAGTGTTCTCAACCGCTGAGCCATCTCTCCAGCTCCATTTTATGTTAACTATTAACCATTCACTAAGGATCAGAAGTCAGAATAAGCTAACTTGATAGACTGAAACAAAACAAAAAAACTTTTATTTTGAAACTTAACTCTCTAGCTGATGCGCATGAGTAGTTCTGATGTGGAAAGAGTAGTTTTGGTGTGAAAAAGAATATTCCTCTGAAGTCCTAACCCAAGGAGCTAAAACTAGGTGGCTTGCCTGTTCCACTGGCCTCCTGCTCCATGACACTCCACTGTAAACAGACACCAGCATAAGCCTGCCCCGTTCAGGGGCTTTTTACCAGAGCAAGGGAGCTATGGAGAGTTTTTGAAGGGGGTCTCTCTTCAATAAGTAGATGAACAAGAGAAGATTTCAATAGTCTAAGTAGTAGAGTAGATGCTGACGGCTGGGCATTAGTTTACAAAAGAGAAGATTGTGAGTAGAAGCGAATCATGGCAGTTTAGTTTTCTGCAAGCTTTCGGTGAGTTCTGAGAATATCCTGTTTTCATCCTATCAGGCAGCTAAGAGTCACCTAAAGAACTGTGTGTAGGACTCAAAACCTGGTTAAAGCTGTGAAAATCAAGTTAAAAATATGCACTGCATGTTGAAGTCATTGCAGCTAGCCCTTTCAGGTGAGCTAATCAACTAACCCATCTTGAGAAATCGATCCTAGTACTTCATATGTGTGAAAAGTGCCTTCAAGAGATCTTAGCTTCTTGGAATTCACTGCAGAACTTACACAGTTGAATTTTATTTTTTAAGGAACTTGATATGTAAATTCTGTACTAAAGAGCTTTCAGCATGTGTCAAGGTCATAAGGAGCAGGAAAGGGCCAGGACCTTGCTTACATCCCCTAGCCCAGTAGGTTGCCTGTAGGCTTTTAAGTTTCTTTTATCCCATAGGAAATCAGAAACATACATGTTTTGATTAGTGAGACTAGGAGCCTAGAGATAACTTAAAGGATTGGCAGAGCAGCCTCAATAGATCCAAATGGAAAGAAGATTGTTTAGTAGTTTAAGGAAGGTACTTTTGGGGGTAAAAAATGTCTTGACCTTTCCCTAGTGTTCATAGACTGGTATCATACTTTTTGTTCAGTATCTGAACTACCTATAATCACTTCCTCCTCGTCCCCATTACAGGGCCTTTACACAAACTCTGTTAATTTTTTTTTCTGTTACCAACAATATTCCAGGAAAACAATAACTTTAAGTTTCTGATTTTTAAAGCTAAGTTTATGTACAAGGTCATAATACGTTACAGCTGCATGTAGCGGTCGCTCATCTGGTTCAGTCTATGGTGGAGGCATCCAAACACTAAGATTTTCCTAGAAATCACATCACCAGTTAGTGGTGGAGTTGAATTGGG